AGAAAAAAAAAATTAGCTGTTTTCTCACATCAGGAGTTCAATCTGTGGGCAACAACACAAAGAATTTTTTTTTTTTAATTACTCCACCTAATACCAGGATGGATGCCTCAGAAGTTGGCTGAAACCCTTCTCCAAGATAGAATAACTGCAAAGAAAAAGAACTTGAGGTGTGTCTTTTCGATGTGTATTAGCTCAAATATAAAATCAATTTTCTTTGGCCGAGCTCACATCCCTTGTGTTTGCTTTCCTGAGAACTTGCATAATCAAGTTTTATTAGCCCAAATGTTTGCATAGAGACCAGTTTAGGCCTTTACACATAAGTCTATCAGATGTGATGTATTTTATCAGGGAAAAACGACTGATAGACAAACTGGGATAAAGCACTGGCTGAGGGTAGGTTTCCCTTAAACTTACTACAATGAGGAACTCAGGGGGCTGAAGTACAACCCTTCCAGCTAGGGCCACCCATGCATGCACACGCTGCTATTTTCTGTGAATGCAATGGGACAAAATTCAACTTTGGAACCTTCCAATACATCTGAAAGTAGCTTTTTTTCCCCTAACAATGACGCCTTGGATGTTCTGGTTTTGTCTTTTCTCTCCCCTTTCAAAAGTGCCTAGTTCTGCTTGTCTACTCTTCTGCTCTGAAACTATCACCTCTTCCCTGACAGTGTCTAAGCACTGTAAGTATCCCCTATCAACTAATTTCACCCAGTCAACTGAATAACTGACATGTGACTAACCAAAACTAAGATAACTCAACTCTTAATTTCATCAAAACAATGGATAGATGTCACCAGACTGGCGGTGCCCGATATCCCCCAATGACGACTGATGTTCTGCAAAGGTCTTCAACTTCATGCTGTCTGTGGGCACATGTGTTAGATCTCCAAGTAAAAAGTAACTTCAGTGGCTTTTTTAGGATCGCTGGAGCAGCCACCAATTAGCACATGGTATGGTTTGCAGTGAAAAAAGGGGGCTTATAATACAGAAACCATTTCAACAGCATTAAGGTGAAGTCAACCCAATTACACATATAACACCAAACAGGTGGTTACAACCTGTAACTCTACCTCATGGTATGCCAGTTATTAAAAGGAAATTTTATACCTCTTCATTGCCAAATAAATTCATTTACTTAAATTTATGAACTTTATAAGGACACATAATCAACTCATCAACTCTTTTTCTGGGTCTTTTTTTAAATGAAGGCCATCGTACCTGGACCTTTATTTGTTTTGATCTGTTCTACATTCATGGAAGTTTGCTTTGCAGTTCCTCTCTATGTATACAATAAAATTTTGGCATTTGATAACTAGTATGAAGAAACAGAAATATTAAAAAAACGGAGTTGCATTCACCTTACAGGAAACTATTTAGCTTTTAGAAAACTGTTCCAGAGTTAGAAGAAATTTTTAATGAACATATTTTGCTCTATTATTTATATACTAGACAGTTCAATGCCAAGACAGCACTAATTCACAATGTGGAAGTCCCTTATAGACCTAGAATTTGCTGACTATAAAGTATGTGAATATGGACATAATCACAGTAGTTCAAAATAAGTTAAAGTTAACTGAAGTAAAGTGTAAGATTTATCATCATGAACAAAACCAACCTGCTGAAATCTAGGTAAGTCAAATGAGGACACAACTAAATCAAACCAACTGTTCAAATTAAATATAGGGTTTTTTTAAATTAAACTTCAAATTGAACTTGAAATCTCAAAGAAATATAAGAAGGTCATTACGGAAAAAATATGGTTGATGGCCATGCAATACTTACCCCTCCAAGAGTGCATTAATATCTTTGAAGTTAGTGATAAAGAACAATTCAGATCTTTGCTTGTGATACATTTGCCACTGTCAGAACACAAGGTCTGACCTCCGGCTTGGTCACAGATCCGTATTTGTTACAAATATCACATGATGTACCAACATGACACTTAGAAGAAGTGCAGATACATGGAGAGTCATGTAAGAATATTAAAAAGCAGGCCCTCATCCCCATTTCCGTGAAAGAACAGTACTCTGGTAATTTAAAATGGCATTAAAGATCAAGGAAAAGCAACTTTCAGGCCTTATGTAAATAAAACATTCACCTTTGTTTCTTACTACTACCTCTGTTTCCAGAAAAATATTTCTCACACAGTAATAAAGAAAATTAGGTTAAGTTTTAAAAATACAGAAGCTCTGTACTGTAGCCAAAATTAAACTATTCCAAAACACACTGTATTTGTAGCTCACTTAACAGTCAGCAAGTTGGGCTGCTGACTTTATAAATTGCTAATAATGCTTTTCAGTATTTTAAGTCAGCCACCCTACTCGTAATCCAATGATATATTTATCACATTAGGATTTTTTTGGTTCTGCTTTGTCACTTTTTAAGCAGAGAAATTAGTGGTGACCTACTGATAATATTCTTCCTTCACTATCAAGTAAAAGATTAGAATTTAGCTGATGGTATGGGATGCTTTCTCCCAAAGCCAGTATAATGAAAACAATGCAGATGTTTCAAAATCCCACAGTAAGCACATGTATCAGGATTACACTCCTCCCCTTTTTTCCTTTACCAATTGAAGATGACCCCGGACAAGTCCTGAGAGAAATGCCACCCGCTCCTGCTGAATCGGGAAGACAGCACCCTCACAGTATTTTCTAAGTGCACATAAGAAAACATATGTACATATCAGAATTGTATTTCTACCCTAGTCTCACACGCTCTGTCAGTTTCAAGGTGGACATGACCCCACCACTCTGAATAAGGTCCATCCAACGCTAGCACAGAAATGTTCCTCTGGCTAAAGCAACTACTATTGTGCAATATATAAATACACGTGTGCAGCAAGACACAGCTACTTTTAAATCTCCTTTTCATCGACTCCATTGGTATAATTTTAATTTTCAAGGAATGACGGAGGGGCAGATAAAAGTTGGGTGTATTTTTTCTTAACTTCTCTCTGCTAAGCTTACACTTCACCATTTTAAATCAATACCTGTGAGAAAAATGGCACGGCTATTCCCGAGTTTCAAGTCCCTGCTGTAACACTGAAGGCTTGTAAACGTGGATAAGTCACTTAGCTGTTATATTTTCAGGTAGATCATGAAATGGAAAACACAGGTACACTCAAGGGATATTTAAGTATCAAATATTATTTCATAAAGTGTCTTGAAGGTGAAGAATTATGCAACTGTTATATTTACTACTATAATAAATAACCTAAGAATAAAGAAAAAGCAAGCCAGTTAGAAGATATGGAGGGAAAACACATAGAAAAAAAGCCCAATAATCTTCCTTTAAGCTTTTACGAAAAAAGGCAGTAGGATTTAGTTTTAAGTTTCAGGACAGTGGACTTCATTCTAGGTCCATTTTTTTCCCCATTTGTGTTTTGGGTTTGGACATAACATGACACTTAACAGTCTTCTCTTTGTCAAAGCCTGTAGATCGGCTTCATTTTTTTAAGGGAAAGCACAGTACCATTAACACTATAATTCAGTGTCTTCCTTTTTTTCCTGGTCCTTTCAGCACCGTTTTGCAAAGCAGGACTGGGAGACACATTGACCTTTGCTGACGAGTAAACTAAGTTTTATATTCATTTATTTTAAATACATGTCATTATTCAATTTTCTTGGTCTGATGTCTTATTTGAGTGTCTTAACAGATACCATAAACAGTCGGTCTGGACTTTTCAGCAAGCACAGCTCAGATCTGTACCATGGCAGTGCTGGTGGGTGAGGGCAGAGGGAAAATCCACTGATCACAATTTAGGACAACTTTCTATTTTTTTTTATGTACAACTACTGCTTTAATTTCTAGCCAATCTGGACTGTGAGCAAATGCCCAAGTTTTGGTAAATTCAGTCCCCTGAGGTCAAATGAGTTCCTACACATATGTAATTTTCCCTTGCTTCCATGTGCTGATGAATCATTACTGCATCCTTCTTTTTCCCAGAAATAATCTGGAAAAAGGGAAAAGAAACTATGACCTGCAGCACTGAAATTCCCCGTTGCGGCAGAAGCCTGACAACTCCTTTAGCAACACAGCCCATTTTCTCTGCTCCAGCCTCAGCACGGAGAGCAGAGAGGACAGAAAAACAAAACACTGAGCGCTACAACAGACTTGTGGCATTGCTGCTGACCATACTGCCAATTAGACAAATCGTAACACACTAGAGTGTGTTCTCTGAAAACCCTAAATCACATAGCAACTGTAAGAGTACGCATTTTCGCAATAGTAGTTCACAAGAAATGTATATTTTTGGTAAAAGTCTAATTCAGAGCTGGGTTATTACCAGGGACAGCTGACTTTTGTAGCCCTGGCACATTATTTCCCGACTAATCTGTTTTCATGAATGTGCTATGTATTTATGATTTGCACCCTCACAATCTACTACACATCTCTTTTCAGAACATTTCCAATCAGATGAACGTATTTAAGGATTATGACTGTGTCACACACACACATACCGCTTCACTTGATGTACATAAAGGAGAGAATACCAAACGTACTACTCTCTTTAATTCAATATTGCTTATCATTTTTCCCCCAGAAAAATATATTAGTAATGCAGGCATGCCAACTGGTTGGGTAAAGATCTCAGAAGCTTTAATGGAATGTGAAAACACACAGAGCAGTTTCAGCACTGTCTGGGTCTCGGAATTTAAACCAAAGCATTTTCCTTAGATTGGCTCTACATTTTTTAAACTTAATAGTTTCAATTGAAATGGTTTTATGTAAATCTATTTCAAACGGAATAAAGATAATTTAAATTACTTAAGTTATTTTTTTTCATACTAATCTTTATTAGCTGTTAAATTTTTAGTTGTATACTAGTGGCAAACTATGATAAAACCATCAATTACTTTTGCTATACATGCTCAGCCTATACAGAGAATTGCTGCATTGCAAAACTCCCAGATCTTGCTAATAAAAATGTATTTTCTAACTGGTTATAAATGATTACATTCTTGGCCATTAATTCCATAAAAATAAATACTTACTACTGTGCACAGTCAATCAGTTGGTATTCGTTCGACCTCTCGAAGCATGCCTTTACACCTTCATCATCCCAGAGCTTTTTTGCATGTTCAAAGAATTCCTGAAAATTGGAAATGCAACAAATAAGAGAACATTTCTCAATCTTTTCAATCCCCAGTCTGTATGTGTTGCTCCCTCCCTCCAACCTTCATGCTTTATACTTTTGCAGAATGATGGATTACACCTTTAAAGAAAAGCAAAGTACATTTATCAGCAAAATTGCAGTAAAATATACTGAACATATGGCTGCTGACAGTTTCCGGTACATGATATGTAATCAAGACTGTCTTCAAAATTCATACCAGTCCATACATAAAATCTATTCTAAGTACGAATGTTACCCAGAAGCATGCAAACTTAATTTTTAACTGAATTTATGATTCTGTCATGGAAAAGACATAGAAGTGATGCAAAAACCTGCTCAGCTTATAAACATTAGCTTCCCAGAGTGAGAACCAGTCTGTAACTTTAAAAAGATTGTGCAACTTTTCCTGAAAAACACAACTTTCCGCTGCTTGCTATTTTCTCATGCAACATAATAATTTGATTGCAAGACTTTCAGAGTCTTTGCTCAACACCGCTTCCTCCAAGCAGCTGTCTGGCACAACGTGCTTTTCCTAGCTGCTATCCCAAGCATACCAATCCAGAAATATCTGCCAGCACGCTTATTCCAGAATTATTTGAAAGAGGAATCAAAGCTGTCCTTGAAACCATAGCTGCTTTGTACAAAATGCACGCACTCAGAGTGGTAGGTCCAACCCTGCCTGCTGGCTCCTCCGCTCCTCCAGCCCCTGCCGTAGAGCATCACACGCTCCAGCTTGTTTTATAGCTGTGAGTCCATTTTATGTTATATCATTACTGGTAAGTCAAACAGCAACTGAGTCTTTCCAGCTAAAGCTTTCTAAAATGAAATGAGGAATGGTTACACAAATTAGTATTTCCTTTATTACATGACTGAATCTTTCCTCCCCCTAACCAAATTGTTAAAGTAATACGTCAACTTAAATACAGAAGTTGTTTGTAATCTCTTAACACCTCAACACGGATACTGAATCATCGGAGTCCTTTGGTCAGCCATAAATTTGCAAAACCTAACAAACGGCTTTTCCCCAGTTAAATTTGGCTGTGTGAAATGGGTGTCATGCCACTATTCACTTCATAATCCTTTCTAAACGTTGTGTAAATATCTGAATTCTGAAACTTTCTGAAACTGTTTGCCAGTCCCTCCCCACACCTTTTCAGGATTAAAAATTTCTCTCAAAAGACAGCGTTCATCGCCAAAGATCTTGGAAGCAGTGTAAGTTCACTTTTACCCTGTGTGGGTTTCCCAACCTTGCACGCCACCCCACTGAGGTGCCCCAGAAGGTAACAGTCTGCATCTCAGCAACTGCCTGTGACCTGCTGGCGACATTTTCAGGGAGAGGCAAAACACAAGATTTTCAGACCAAAGTAGTACGGAAAATTGTTTAGTTAAGCTTTGAATATGGCTACAGAGGTCCTGAATAACCCCAGAAGTGCTTTTTTCTTTCAATTATATTGTGCATAATGTAGAGAGAGAGAAAAATCCATTCATTAAGAAGTTTTCAAAAGTTTAGAGAAAGGGAGATGTTAAAGCAGGCATGAAAAACCTTTGCAGAAAGTCTTGGAAGAAGAGAGGAAGCAACACTAGAGATTGGCAGATGCTTATACTGCCCTTGGAATTTATTTCTTCACTGTCATGAGGACATGTTTATTTTGTCTTTGTTATTTTAACGACTTATGTAATGATTGTTTAAAACACTGCAGATCCACCTTTTGAAGTTATGCTACAGCTATTATAAACTCTCTGTTCCTACAGCAGAAGGAAAGCAAAAAAAAGCTCAAGAAAGGACAAGATATCGAACTAAATAAGCAGAAGGAGAAAGCGGACACAAGTAACAGAGAGCACGACTACAAGAAAAAGAAAGAAGTGGAAAAGTCAAAATGATAAATACCAGAAAACATGGAACATTCCTCAAACTTGAAGATTATGCTTGATTGATATTTAGGGCATCTGCTGAATGCATCTCACTTACTGGCATCTTTGTCCAAAGAAAGGCATTGCCTTCTCAATGGAAAGAGCGACCTCCGGATAAGCGTCAGAGTCCTGAGGCAAAAGGACCCAGTTCTACCACTCCCTTTGATGGGTGCGTGTACAGCAGTGTACAACCTCAGCCCTCCTGCAGGCGCTCGCTGCTGCAGGCGCCGGGGCTGAGCACAGCGTGCCCGCCCTCCCCTCCTCACCATCGGCAGGTGGGAATTCCCACCCGCCCGAAAAGTCATCTCTGAGGGGAACCTACACGTAAAAAATGGCCCTGTTCAGACCCACGCAGCCTATGGGAAGGGGATGGGAAGAGGAGGACGCCAGCGTGAAAGCTTCCTTTCCTGTGGGGTGGGATGGATTGAAAGACTGCTACAGATGTAAATAGCTAACTAACTAACTAAATAAAATTGAACAGCTATAGCAGTTTCTAACTTCACTTCTGTTTTTACATCCTCTGTATAAGCTTCATTTACGCTTAAATATCTCTTCTGGAAAAGAGGCAATCTTTTCAGCTCAGCTTCTGAGACCCTACAAATATGTTGTAAATACAGGGTTTTCATATTATATGCTTCAAATATTTCCACCTGACCATTATATCTCAAAGCAGTCTATTTAAAACAACTTCCAGACTTCTAGTCCAAAGCAAATCCTATAAAACGAAGCAAATATACTTACCTCATTAAAATGTACCGATCTACTGCAGAGGAGTACACTTGCCTGCAAATTGCCTCCCACACAGCTACCCGATCCTTCTTTCCCAGGTGACTAAAGCCTTCCAGAAAAATCCTGCTTCATTTCAAGACACCAAGTACCATGATCCAACTTTTCACACTTGTTTTTAACCCCTTTCTCATCTGCTCTAAGTTCTTCAGTATTTTTTCTACTCAAGGCTCCCACTGCACACAGTCAAGCACACAGGAGGATCCTGCTTACACGTGCCAAACATGTCTGGATTCCAACCTACTCCCCCCATCGCAGGACAACATCCAGATAGCAGTCACCACGTTAGCTTCAACCTCTGCAACCAAGGCCCCTTTGCCCGACGGGCCTTCCAGCAACCAATTCCCGATCCCCAATCACAGAATGGTCAGGGTTGGAAGAGACCTCTGGAGATCATCTAGTCTAACCCCCCTGCCTACAGCAGGTTGCACGGGATGGTGTCCAGGTGGGTTTTGAACGTCTCCAATGTGGGAGACTCCACAACCTCTCTGGGCAGCCTGTTCCAGTGCTCTGCCACCCTTAAAGAAAAGAAGTTCCTCCTCATGTTAAGATGGAACTTCCTATGTTCAAGTTCAGTCCCAGTAACTCATTCCTATAGACTCCAATGTTTGTTACCTCCTCCTTCCGCTGTGGCCACATCATGGCCACCTTCTTGGCAAGCAGGCACTGGTGAGCTAATGAAGGTGTGGGCTTTGGGCTAAGCCTGCCCTGCAGCACCTGCTCTTGGGACTGTGGCATCCTCGGGGTGTCAGCCACATTTGGCAATGGGTGTTGTGGGGAAGAGACAGGGTAATTCAAAGGACAGAGAATTTAGATTTGCTCCAGCTGATAAAGCAGGATGGGCTAAAACTTCTCAGTTAATGTTTCTGGGGGGTGGGGGCCTACATGCAAAACATTACCTTAGGTCAGTACAACACAAATAAGGTTTCATGCGTAAGTTGTGACCTTTGCAGCTTACATTCTGAGACCCCACCTGAAGTACCGCGTCCAGCTCTGGGGCCCCCAACATAAGAAGGACATGGACCTGCTGGAGCGAGGCCAGGGGAGGGCCACAGTAATGATGAGAAGGCATCTCTCCTATGAGGACAGGCTGAGGGAGTTGGGGTTGTTCAGTCTGGAGAAGGCTCCAGGGAGACCTTATAGCTGCCGCCCACTACTTGAAGGGGGCCTACAGGAAAGACGGGGAGGGACTCTTTATCAGCGAGTGTAGTCATAGGATGAGGGGTAACAGTTTTAACCTGAAAGAGGGTAGATTTAGATTAGATATTAGGAGTAAATTCTTTACTCTGAGGGTGGTGGGACACTGGAACAGGTTGCCCAGAGAACTTGTGGATGCCCCCGCCCTGGAAGTGTTCAAGGCCAGGCTGGATGGGGCTTTGAGTAACCTGGTCTGGTGGGAGGTGCCCCTGCCCATGGCATGCCCATCTAGGTGTCCCTAGATGATCTTTAAGGTCCCTTCCAACCAAAACCATTCTGTGATTCTATGGCCAACCTAAGATCTTCTCAAGGGTCTAACTTCTGGAAAGTGGCTATACAGAAGTTCTTAAAAGTCAGCTTCTTTAAGAAACCTCAACTGGGACAGGAGAAAACAGGGGCATGGGAAATCATCTGGGGCATCTGATGCACTTGGTCTGCAAGCACATGCAGCTGACCTCTATTGGATCAAAGTCACTGAAATCTACTAAAAATGTTTAGTATACTGAAGAGAACCAGGAAAAACACCTACATCATGACACGGCTATGAACACCAAAGAAAACAGAGCTGTTTCATCCAAACTATTCCTTACGGACAGAGGCATACAAATATTTGCACCTATTAATATACGTATAAAGTAAAACCATTACTATATTTTTTGCTGGAGCATTTTAATTAGAGCATTAGAGAAGTAAATGATGATGCCTCAGGTCTCACGAATTACAGGTACTTTTTACTTCACACACATTAAATTATATCGGTTAACTAAGAATTTATAGTAATCATTAGACCATACAATACCAAAATTTTGATGTGATCAAAATGAAGACGTGACACACAATATCTCAAATATTTATTAACATAAAATCATCTGGAAATTTTCCACTCTTCCTGAGACAATCAAAAAAAACCTCTGCTTCATAGTCCCAAGCTTCCTTTTCACCAGCAGATAATTTTTGCTACACATAAATATCCATGCATCATCTAAAAATCATGCAGTCACATAAGCAGGTTATGATTCCTTTTTTGTTCCATAACAAAATAAGTTAAGATGTACATAAATGTATAAATGCTCTGAGCTGAT